GATATGTAATACCCATTCACTCACTCACTCTGACGTATAACCGAATGGGTTTTAATTTCAGTGTGTCTTTGACATGGCCGGCAAGAAATGCGCCGCAGAGGAAGATTTTCCAAATTGTCGGACTGTCTCACTGCAGCTGTCTGTAAGTAAACTTATACAAACAACAAAGAAGAAATAGATAACTCACAACTTACGCTGTGCAATGTCAGCTGTGACATCTGTGGGTGAGAGACGAGGACAGGCACGAAAAACAAATGCAGGCAGACCTGAGGGCAAGAAATGTGGGATAAGAATATTGAATACAGGCTACGAATTAGAGAGGTTTAAAGGTTGGCATTCGATACAAATCGTGGACGGGCTACTATTTATACGGTAACGAAAGGGGTGATAAATAAGAGGAAGAAGATGGGTTACATTTAAGATGCATACGAGAGATGTTAGGAACCAGACAACAAATGAGAAATGAGGATGGAGAATGAGAGCGACAGATCGTGAAAGCAATATTTTAATAAAAATAATGTTCAAAGATAAGAATGAACTTTTATAAGAATATGATTAGGGATTGAACTAAACAGACTGTGGAGTAAGAATACAACATAAATTGTAAAATATGCGTTCATTTGTTCAGAGCAACTAGATGTATTTCAGCATAAACGTCTCGTCCTTTCTACCACTACAGCCACATGCCATCTGTTTCAGACCTGTGTGTGCCCTGGTGGAACCAAATGTAAGCTGCAGGAGAATGATGGGAAATGTGTCTACTCGTGTGAAACAATTGGCCAACAACCTGATGACAACAATGCAGGAATGGGTCCTGGCGTTGGCGAGACATAGAACACACCTACGGACGTCGTCCAAAAGAATGCACAACTGTGTTAGAAACCGTGGGCCATGTACTTACCTGATATTAGGTCTTCCTGAACACTGATCCTGTCAACGTACCATCAACTATATATCGTTGTACATCAGCATCTGAATTCAGATTTATACTGATCTACTGACCTCAAGCCATGACCATGCTAACTGTTTGATGGAAGAATATGTATTTCAGTTCTTAACGAAAACATGGGTCCATACGAAACCGTTATGATAGTCAATGGTGGCAGGTGCATTCTTTATCCCAAATCATGTCTTTATTGTGTAATGTGATCCAATTTTGAAACGACCAAGGTCTCTGTCACGATGACATTGATTATTCAAGTATTTCATGATTGTTGTTTGCCTGTTTGAGAAAATATTTTCCGACTTCATTCTGATATAAAACAGTGTGGCCCACGATTAGCTTGGCTTATCCTTCATAGCCTAACATCAACATGATTTACCAGGAAATATTACTACAATAACTGAATTTCTGGTTGATTTCTAAAACTCGTTTCAAGACCACCCACCCTACCCCTAACACACTGTCACACTAGACACACACGCCCGCACACACACACACACACGAAATATATCTATTTATCTCTTAGAGAGAGAGAGAGAGAGAGAGAGAGAGAGAGAGAGAGAGAGAGAGAGAGAGAGAGAGAGAGAGAGAGAGGGGAGTGAGATAGAGTGTGTGTGTGTGTGTGTGTAAGAGCGGCAGTGGGAGATGGGGAGAGTGGGGGATCTGAAGAAGGGGGGTGGGTACAACATATATTAAAGATGCCGATGAGTCACTAAATGCACCCATGTTGTCATGATCCTGCTGTATTCAGGAACACCAGTGATCAATTATCTGGTGTGATGAATAAATCACAGCTACAGACGTCATGATGGATCTCGTCGCGTGTAAACCAAGTCACGCTTGCACAAATCAATCTTAGCGCTAAGACTGACTTAAGTCTATTAAAGTGTATGGGAGTTACGATTATCTTAGCGCTAAATTTGCTTTGCGCAAGTGGGCCAATATCTGCTCAGAGCTTAACCGCAATGCATCTACTTTAACAATAGTGAAAATAATGCGTGTATAGTTGTAAGGTTCTGATAGAATTTATATCAGATGTATTAAACGCAATGAAAGCGCATTACAACCAGTAGCGATGCATGACAGCAGAAGTCGAGGAGGCTTACTGCGTAGTCTCCCAGTGGCGATGGAGTCAGTCTTACTCCTCATGCAGTGCCTTGTCATGTTCAGCCGACGGCGGCCAATGACGTACACTTGCCCCTATTCCGCCCCAGAATGTTTCATTACGGAAAGGTCTGGGCTCCTCGCTGACCGTTGCATTATGTGGATGTTGAATATGCTTCCTTGCTGCTTGAGGGGAGCATTGATGATTCGTGCTTGGTGAGCACTGGCGCTGTCGTATTGGTCACTGTTTGCTGACTTTGTAAACGCTCCTAGATGCTCCGCCTCAACAGACTACACACATATATAATGAAATAACACAATTATCTATGATAAGCAGAGATTAATCAAACTCTCCTGAAACAGTCAATTCTGGAACGACACCGGTTTTGTTGCTTCTGCAGTTGGTGTTCTTGTATGGACAGTTCATCGTCAACACTTATCTTTGTTGTAATTCTTCATATTGGCCTTTGTTAGATGAGTATATAATTGTTACTTTAAGTTATGTCTTTGAGATGTTTCATTCTATGAGGCTACTTAGTTGATATATTGCGACAACAACGTTTTACTCAGACATACCGCAGAAACATAATGTCAGCTGTAAACAATTGAATCTGACCATTCAACAAGATGACATTGATACTATAAAGTATGAACCTCGCCATCGGTTACCGATGACAGGCATTTCACAAGATCTTACGAGGTTGCTGATACATTCAGACTAGAAATCCTGGAGTGAGTGAGTTAGTGAGTGTGGATTTACGTCGCTTTTAGCAATATTCCAGCCATATCACCGGCGGGGGACACCAGAAATGGGCTTCACACATTGTAACCATGTGGGGAATCGAACCCGGGTCTTCGGCGTGACGAACGGACACTTTAATATTAGGATACCCCACCGCCCTAGAAATCCTGAAAATAGACATGTAGTGAGTATATGTGTTCAATGACGTCACATTGGACATTCACCTGAATGAGTGAGTGATTTGGGTTTAACGGCTCTATAAATAATGTTCCATCGTATCATAGCATACCAACACCTTGTAAGAGGAAACCTCAAAGAAATACAGGCCCTTGACTTCAGTGACAACCACGAGATGCGAACCGTGGACAGGCAGCTCGTTAAAGGCAACAAACAATTCTAAATAGCCGTTTAGCATGTGTTAGACTCCGAGATGTCCGTGCCATTCATTGTCAGTTGATATTTGTTGAAAGTAATGTTACAGCTATGCATTGATTGCTAGCTTAACTGCCTCAACAAATGTGTTATAGTTTTTAGTTTACACAGCCGTAAGGTAAATATACACCAGAGTTGCTACATGTAATTGGCTAGAGATCCCATGACACAGACCGAGATGGTATTCTACCTGGTTGTATGGATTGTGGATGCGGATGCCGTCACCGTGGACGTATTTGTTTGGGTGATTCTGCAGCCCCTCGCAACAAACAACACTTCTTGACAATTTTACACATGCCTATCGATAAGACCTAATTTCATTTAATAATGAAATGTGGATCTGGCAGAAAGTGCTTTCAAAATACAAACCTCAAACACTTTAATAAAACACTCATATATTTTGCTAACTATTTGATGCTCAAACTGAATATGTACAAAATCAGGAATTGATCCTGTATATTCTCCGTGAGGCCGATGGAACTTTGAATCTTACTTAAATGGTTCCTTGTCATTATAACCGGAGTCTACATATTTTCTGGAGACCTGTTGTAACTCTGACTCTGTAACTGTTGTCAGAGTTGTATATGCTTTATTGGAGTTCAAACTGTTATGTTAAAATATACTTCTCACACTGTGCTAAGGATCACACAAATTCACAACTTTACTTAAACGTAGATTCATAATTTGAAATTGTATCCATTTAAAACTGGATAAATAATAATATGGTAACCCCTCTTTAGGCAAACAGTCACTTTAACATAACCTTATGCACTTGATACATGAGTAATCATGAACATGGTTTTCATGTCACCAATCAACCATTTTGCAAATCATGGAACGAGTCATTGACAAGTACTCAACAGCTGTCAATATACTCCGTTTTACTTCATTTTCGACCGATGAATTGCTCACTAACACAAAATCTAATAATTGCAACAAAACCAAATTTTGCACAGTCACATGAAATCGACAGACCAACTCTGATGATTTGTCTCATAATTTTGGACACCCGAATAAAAAAGTTGTTTAACAAACGATCATTATTTTGTTGTCACTTTTCGCTATTTCATACGAGGGAGAACCACTTGCTAGTAGAACACATTACCTCAGTCTTGAAGGTTTCAACCTTACCTTTGTCGTATGATGTTCTATATAAGTATCGTAGAAAGAGCATACATGTCGTGCCTCTGAAGTTGTGAAATGTAGACACCAAATTAGCTTGGTGTTAATAGAGTATTGCCAGACATGAAGTCAAGATCCCTGTTGGAAGTGGACATCATCCCTCTTGTGTCCAGCTAATCTCTCTCGTCAGCTTGGTGGTTATAGCCTAGAGTTAGTAAACCATCAGTTATTTATCTTTGTCATTGTGCCTTAATGTCTGTCTAATTGCGATTGTGATTGTTCAGCAATCCATTCTTGTCGTAAGAGGCGACTAACGGGATCGGGTGGTCATCGTATCCAAAATGCGTAGATTGATGCTCATGCTATTGATCACTGGATTGTCCAGGCGCGAGTATTTACAGATCGCCACCATATTGCTGCATGCGGCGTTAAGCAACCAATCTTTGTGGATGAGCCGTTACTCTAGCGTGAGCATCGTGGTATATGCCTCAGTGCACTTTCTGAAAGTTTTATACTTTCTCAATAGATTCCCATTTCGATTGGAACGCCCAAGACCTATTAAAATCTGACACTGAGTATTTGATTTGATAACCACCGATATTGAGTGGTATATATAAGAACTGACCTATCCGTAGTTTCAGTCGCGGAGAGGATTGCTACTGTGGAGAGTCCGTTCTATTTGTTATTGTTGGTGATTTCTGATAGACAGAGACCGGACAATGAGACTGAACATCGCTTTACTGACACTGGTCATCGTGGCTGTGGCCTTTGCCCAGGACCCAACGGTATGTTACATTCAGATTTCATTCTGTTATCCATGCTTTCAAAGTGTATCAAATTTTGCTTATTTATTCTCACTGTATTTCAAACAAGACAATCATTCATTGCATCACATCTGAAAAACCTGTTTGTTTCTATCATTTCCATGTCATAATTTCTATCAACCTAACAAAGTCATCCATTTAAATCAAATTAAATGTAAATTTAAACCTATAACCATGTACACCTGTATTGGACATTAAATAACAGGAAAGAATGATCTAAATATGGAAAAACATAGTGGGTTTTAAGTGCCTCTAGCTTCTGACGTTTTAGAAGTGATTTCATCTGGGTCTCCCTGCAGAAAATGGCAACTGCGTCTCAACAATTATAAATGCTGTCAAAGGCAGAACCTATCACATCGGAACGTTTGGTGTAACGAGTTCCATTGAACGTTATCAAATACACTTATTGCAGATACATGTATTTCACTTGTGATAATGTATAGGGTTAGTTATCTGTGGACGATCATTAAGTGGTGGAACATACCAGTGCAACGTTCGTTGGTGCGTTGTTTAACGCCCCACTCAGCACTATTCAGGTATATGTTGTCGGTATGGTCAGGACCAGATAATCCAGTGATCAACATCATGAGCATCGATCTACGCAATTGGGATACGATGCCGGTGCCGGTGTAAAGGAAAAAGGGACACTTGAATCAGTTTGCTTTTGGAGAAGATCCAAAGAAGGATCCCCCATACTTTCATGTGATCACAAATTGGATACAACTGATTACAGTCTAGATGTCAAGTTTCTCGTCTTGGGGCAGCAAAGTGAGATTTGTCGCTGTTTATGGAACACCTCTATGACATTTGCCATGGAACAAACAAGAAGCCTTGGAATGGGAACATGCCAAGCCCCTAGGAACGACTAAGTTCAATGCCTCTAGATATACCAAGATGTTTATACTTCTTTGAGAGGCATTTTAGAAGTTGTAAAGATGAAGGAAAACGAAGTTCTAAGGACAGTCAACTTCTTTATTGCAATGATTGCGACGTTTCGGTGTAGGTACTAACACCGTTATCAAGTGCAATAAAGAAGATGACTAGTCATGGTCCTGGTTTACCTTCAAGAAGGTTATAGCAACCATAGTTGAGGATCGCAGTTTAATATATATCGATCACCAGCCACATGAAAGACTGCCTGACTGACTGAGTTTAGTTTTTTACGCCGCTTTTAGCAATATTCCAGCATTATCACGACGGGGGACACCAGAAATGGGCTTCACACATTGTGCCCATGTGGGGAATCGAACCCGGGTCTTCGGCGTGACGAGCCAACGCTTTAACCACTAGGCTACCCCACCGCCCCCACATGAAAGAACAATGAACGGATTATATTAAGGCAACTTATTGCGGAAGGTCCGCTTGTCTATATTTGAGGAGCATCGAATGGCAATGATGTTTAAGCTGTTCCAGGTCTTTTGGTTCAATCCAATCGTATGAATAAGTGTCCTTTGTTTGTCAACACCTGCTGCTGTGTTCTTCAAAGTAAGTGTGCCGTCGTTCAACGTTAGTCTGACCTGTCATGCTGAAATACAATTCAAGTAGTTCAAACTCAATGCAGATATACATCGTATAGAACAGCGGTCACACCTGTGTCTACTATAGATATTGATATACCTGTCAACAATGATGGCTGTGACAGGCTACATGAACAACACAAAATCCTGAATGCTTCAATGAAGTTTCCGCTTCATACACACTAAGCAATGGTCGTTATTTTACATCACACATGTGGAAAGGGGCGGATACTGCTAGGGATATCCCGTAAAGTGGACAAGGGATATTATGAAATGTAGTGCTTTCATTATGCATTGTACATTGTGACAACAACCTTGATATCCATTGTAGTGTAGTACTTTGAATTGTCTGAACTTTTGAAATATATATACACATTGAAAAGAAGTATCGCAACAGCTATGATTTTAACCCCATATAGCCCCATTATATTCATATCATAATTATGACGTCCGCTGTGATGCAAAGAGCACAAAGCAGCACGACTATGCTGGTGTCGAATTTGACGTCATGGGTAGGGTCCACTGGTCGGATAAAAGTCGATCCTATTTATTTACCACCATATTGGATGTTAATTCGGTATCCATTTTGGTGTATATTTTACTTTAAGCCAGAAAATGTTGAAAGATTGCATGACGTTTATATGTTTTCATTGTTTGTTTGTCGCGGGCTTGCCAAAAGTAACACGATCTTGCGCCAGTATTGGAGTCCATTTCAGTTTCTGACGAGGAAACGACCCACTGAAATGAAACCTCAGTTTCAGATGTGTAGAACACCTGGGAACACATGTTTGATACCTGAATACGTCATCAACCCACCAGAATTGGAACTGAAGAACCAACTGTGGAATTAGGACAATGGATATGCTTGAAGTTTTAAAACCCCAAACAAGCACCCAGTTTCAAGCTGTCAAAATCTTGTTCTCAGTTTCTACAATCCCACATGACATATATTGTGTTTTGAACAGTGGTTTTAAACGTGGAGACTACATAGATGTAGTTATAAATCTGTCTTCAGAGGTGATGAAGAATTAGTCAAAATTGAATGTGAAAGCCGTGGTTGAAACTGGTTCAGTTTTAATTTCAGTGCGGACTGAACATGGACGAGATGAAATGCGCCGCAGAGGAAGTTTTCCCAAATTGCCAGGTCACCTCTTTGGAGTGGACTGTAAGTGTTAAAACAAGGAATAAATACAAGGAAGTGTTTGAGTGAGGGACGTTGCGGTGTGTGCGTGCGTGTGCGTGTGTGTGAGAGAGAGAGTAAGTAAGAGCGGCAGTGGGAGATGGGAAGAGTCGGTTAAGTAAATACGGGGCTGGTAGAACCAGAAGGCAGGACATATAGACGGGGCGGAGGGGCTAAGAGATAAGATAGGAGAAGGAGGAAAGATCAGTTTGATAACCCGGTCCCCGTTCCACGAAGCGCTAAGGTTATCGTAACTGCCAAACTTTAACATAGATTTACGACTGTCGTAGCGGCTACGGTAGCGCTACGATCGCTTTGTGAAACGGGTTCCAGGAACTAAAGACATGTTTTATTGGAAAAACAGAATACGTGGGAGGAACAGTGCCGAGAAGTGGGCAATGGGTTGGGGAGAACTGAGAGATAGAAATGGGGATACAATGTAGAAGATGATCAAGAGATGCGATACGATGTACAAGGGTGAGAACTGAAAATAAGCGTGTTGGAGTGGGAGTGAGAGTCAGAGTGATATATTATGACAGGAGTTGTATACTAACGGAAAAGAATTAAGGGAGAAAAGTGTACAAAGGGGAAAGAAAATAGAAGTAGATTGTAGGATACAATTTCATTGTTAAAGGACAACTTGGACGTTGTTTCAAAGCATAGTCCTTTTGAAGAGAATGATAAAACGTCATCTGTTTCAGACCTGTGTGTGTCCCCCAACGACCAAGTGTAAGCTGGAAGATAATGATGGGTCCTGCAACTACTTTTGTGAACCAGTCGGGTTTGAAGTCGAAGACAACAATGCGGGAATGGGCCCTGGGGATGGAATGCGATGAATGCCTACGGCCATGATGGAAGAGATTGCACACACCCGTACTTGTCGTGAACGTGCTTGTCTGACATCAGGTCTTTCTGAACACTGACTCTGCCAACCTGTCATCAACTCTTTATCCCACATTTGCTTATTCCGAGCAAAGAGAATAGTTACATATTCCATTTCGACCAAAAACATAGATTCACTGAATTGCTCTAAGGCCAAATTGACCCAATGTGGAGGTCAATCCTGAAAGGTGTAAATGGCACCAAATTCTGAACAGCTATGACCTCTTTGTCAACACTTTATGTGGTCACTCTCAATATTGATCATTAAAGTACTTTATAATTGTATTTCTCCTGTTTGTTTCCACCTAACATCCGATATGGACCGTTGTGCCTCACGACAAGTTCCGCATGTCCTTTGTCAAATGGGCACATAAACTTAAGGTATTTTGGTTTGCACCCCCAGGCAAGCATGAGGATTTGTGAAAGCACGTAACTGCCCCGAACAGTCTCCTAAAGGGTTTCGGAAGTTGGAATTGACATCCTCTCTCCCAACACACATGCTATAAATATGTAAAGATTGATATTTTCTGCAGGAAAGACCAGCATAATGGCGCCAAATGCTATAAAATCGTAGCAGTTTGTGGAGCAACATCAAAACTTTAACGATTTTTATGCGATCTTGATTTACCTGCATTCACAATAGTCACGCAGTTCCTTTATATGAAATGCACAGAGCGATTAGTGATGTATTCATAAACCTGTAAATCCCATAAACACCTGATATTATCTGTAAAAACACTGGCACTTGCACATATTGATGTTTTTTGTTTCATATTCGATATCATTAGACATCGATTATATACAAGGTCAAAACCGCTGATTACATCGACTTCAGGGTGGAGGAACCTCGGATACTGACCTCAACAAGAACAGGTCAATTTTGAATAGGACTCACGTTATTTGAACCTTGTCCAACGATACGTTTTCATCAAGGACAGATTAGCCTTAACTCCGCCTTGGAATTCGACTTCAACTTGTACACTGTAGTCTTGGACTCCGAATTCAACTTGTACACTGTGGTCTTGGACTCCGACTTCAACAGTACACTGTCTTGGACTCCGACTTCAACAGGTACAGAGTAGCCTTGGACTTCAACAGGTACAGAGTCTTGGACTCCGAACACTGTACTTGGACTCCGACTTCAACAGTCTTGGACTTCAACATGTACACTGTAGTCTTGGACTCCGACTTCAACAGGTACACAGTAGTCTTGGACTTCGACTTCAACAGGTACAGAGTAGTCTTGGACTTCGACTTCAACAGGTACAGAGTAGCCTTGGACTCCGACTTCAACAGGTACACTGTAGTCTTGGACTCCGACTTCAACATGTACACTGTAGTCTTGGACTCCGACTTCAACAGGTACACTGTAGTCTTGGACTCCAACTTCAACATGTACACTGTAGTCTTGGACTCCAACTTCAACATGTACACTGTAGTCTTGGACTCCGACTTCAACAGTAAGATGGTAATCGTGGACTTGACGTTAACCAAGTTGAACCATTGGGCTGGGATTGAAAGAAATCGTTGACGGAATATACAGACACCCCCATCTACGTCAATACAAGGCAACAAATACACACTAGGGCAACATTCAGCCAAAACATACGTGATTCGTTAAACGATCCCAGGTGGAATCAGTATGTCTACCCTGTCGCCAGACTATTATCTGGAGCACGAGGAGGTAAGTGGTCTGACACCTGGCTGTCTGGAAGCAACATGATTTGGGATCACAGCTCAATTCACTGAGATCAAAAACTGTTCTCATCATACCCGATCGAACATTTATAGCCACGATCTAAGTATGAAACGGAAAAGCCCCAAAATATAGAATAAATTAATAATAAATAAATGAATGAATGAATGAATAAATAAATAAATAAATAAATAAATGAATGAATAAATAAATAAATAAATAAATAAATAAATAAATAAATAAATAAATAAATAAATAAATAAATAAATAAATAAATATAAATAAATAAATAAATAAATAAATAAATAATAATCTCTATCATCTCTCGAATGAAACCTCAAAGTACACTTAAATATTTCATGAACGGATCACTGAAAATCAGTGATGACACAATGGCCAGGCTTTGTCTTCAAAGGTAACCTTGTCATGTCAGGCGTTTTTACTTTGAATTGCTCTCCCAAACGTTTAACCAAGTTTCCCTTGTGGAACCGCATAACAATGGGTACCAAGCAATCTGCTCTTGTCGTAAGAGGCTAATATGAAATTGAATCGCACAGTCGAATTCTATGACTCGGTTCATCGCGCGACATTGTATTCCGACGGCATGAGGCGTTAGTGTCAATAACCGGTCCGCCTGATCCAGAACGATTAGTTACAAGTCAGATTGGTGTATTCACTCGTTCCAAAAACCAAATATAATGACATCTCATAACACACCAGGTACCAGTAATCGTATGAGTAATATTCACAGGTACACCAGCCCCATAGGAAACATCCTTGATTAATTTAGACCAAGATACATGCCTTCTAACATCACAGAATACGCTTCAATAACTCATATACAATCAATACGACAGGTACAGACCCTTGTTTGATAGTATTTGTGGTTTCTGTTATGAAACTATTTGCTCTCAGACCCACACTTCAATATTTAATGAAATTAAGTCTTAAGTCGATACCCATGTGTGAATTGTCAAGAAGCGTGGTTGGTTGCTAGGGGCTTCAGAGTCGCCAAAACAAATACGCCCTTGTTCACACCTCTGCATGCAGGATCTATAATTCAGGAATGCTTACATCTAGCCAGTGTGCCAAATGCATCTACGGCCAATTATGTGTGGTAGCACAGGCAGTACAGATGTCATGACTGTAGAAAGTGAAATATATCAACTGAAATGGTTTTGTCAATGCCTTTGTATTAGTAATCCATTCGTCACCGTAATACTGGTTTCAATACTTATCAGTGCTGATGAATAATGGATGTTGCTCGTGGACTAATGCGCTATAATTCGTGGTCGAGAGTTGCCCTTGCCACTAACGATCTGTCTAAGGTTCAAATCTTAGATCCATTCAACTGATTATTCTTGGTTTGTCAATACTAATGTGTGCTCCTGGGTGTCAATAAAGGTTTGATTTTGGTTGTTGTTTAACGCCGCACTCATGATCAGCAATATTCCAACTAGATGAACGGCGGTCTGTAAATAATCGAGTCTGGACCAGACAATCCAGTGATCAATAAACATCGATTAACGCAGTTGGGATACGATGACATGTGTCCACCAAGTCAGCGAGCCCAACCACCCGATCCCGTTATTCACCTCTTACGACAAGCATGGTTCACTGAAGACCAATTCTAATCCGGATCTGCACTGGTTCGTCAGCAAAGTGGTAAAAATCCAAGACTTGTATTACTCCAGGCTTTCTTCCCACATGAAGCTATTACGGAAGAACTGTTAAACCTGGCGTTAAACCCTACTCAATCATTCAACCGTTGCTGCGAACGTCTGCAAAAAATGTTGATGTGATGTAACGCACTTAGCCTTTAAATGTCCATCCCGATGTTTCCAGGTCTCTCCCGATGTCCACAGCAACCGTTGATGGTCTAAGACGCGACTCATTGGATCGGGTGGAAAGGCTGGGTGTCGGATGATTACGTCGTTCGGAACCCCGGGGACACAGTTCGTTGCTTATGATGTCATTCTTAGTTTCATTGACCCACTTTACACTCTTCAGTGACCATTGTCTTGGCGTGAAGCATTATAAAACAAGTACAACCTACATGCCTCAGGAAGTGTCGTCGCAATCACCTCTGTATCACATATATAAGAGGCGGGTAATTACTGACAATGTTTAATATTAAAGATGAAAAGTATAATGATACAACTGGTGACAATTACGAGTGCGATGTCTCCATAAGTAAGATAATTATAAATGGGATATGTAGATATTTTCATTTACATAAATCCACACACCCGTGTCTTTGTATTAACTGATTCATTTCGTCGCCCGTCTGACAGTGGTCTCATTAAGTTAAGGCTCTGAGTATCCCTGGTCCCCCACACGGCGAGATCCATCATGACGTCTGTAGCTGTGATTTATTCATCACACCAGATAATTGATCACTGGTGTTCCTGAATACAGCAGGATCAGGCCCACATCCAGACAATAAGATGGGTGCATTTAGTGACTCATCGGCATCTTAAAGATATATTACGAGCAAAGAAAGTCTCATCAAAATAACCTAACATGTATCGCAGAACATTTGGCACCTCGAGATGTAGTGATGTAGCCTAGTGAAGGGGGGAGATCAATGCTGTATGTCGTTTGTGGATGTGTTCACCAGAACAGGTATAAGTTAGAGCACTGCTTGCAATATGTGGTTTGTTGTGTGAACGTTATGGTAGTTGGGCGAGGGTAGATTGAATGCTGTATGAAGCTCTTAACTGGTATGAGGGTGGGATAATCTAGTAGTAAAAGCTTTCGCTCGCCACTCAGAAGACCCGGTTTCGATGCTCCACATGGTGGAGAGCAATGATTAAGTCATTGATGACGTAACTGTATTACAAACAATGGCAGGACAAATTATGTGTGTGCGTCATGAATGGTCAACAGTAGGTAGCATGTCGTCATGACGGGAAGGTGGGAGAATGGCATTTGGTATGCTGTTTGTACGTCATGATGACTACACTGTACATGGTAGGTAGTTGATAGTGACGACGTCATAATGAGTACACTGTACAATGGTAGTTGTTGATAGTGACGACGTCATAATGAGTACACTGTACAATGGTAGGTAGTTGATAGTGACGACGTCATAATGAGTACACTGTACAATGGAAGGTAGTTGGTAGAGTCGCCATTATGAGTACACTGTACAATGGTAGGTAGTTGGTAGAGACGACGTCATGATGAGTACACTGTACAATGGTAGGTAGTTGGTAGTGACGACGTCATGATGAGTACACTGTACAATGGTAGGTAGTTGGTAGAGTCGCCATAATGAGTACACTGTACAATGGTAGGTAGTTGGTAGTGACGACGTCATGATGAGTACACTGTACAATGGTAGGTAGTTGGTAGTGACAACGTCATAATGAGTACAGTACAATGGTAGGTAGTTGGTAGTGACGACGTCATAATGAGTACACTGTACAATGGTAGGTAGTTGGTAGTGACGACGTCATGATGAGTACACTGTACAATGGTAGGTAGTTGGTAGTGACGACGTCATAATGAGTACACTGTACAATGGTAGGTAGTTGGTAGTGACAACGTCATAATGAGTACACTGTACAATGGTAGGTAGTTGGTA